CCTGGTCGGCGGGAACCCGGCACGGAACCCTCCGGCGTTGTAGGCGGGTGTGGGAAGCGTTCCCCGTTCTCCTTTTATTTTATTTTGATCGGTCTCCTCGACGCTCTTTCTCGTTTGGTGCGGTAGCTGGTCTTTCTTTCTATCATTTTGTTTCTCTTCCGAGTGGTTTTTGTACCCTATTTTTTTCTGTTTCTTCGTGTGGTCGTGTATGCCGGGTTTTGAGACCACGGGCTCCCATTTTTTTTTTTTTTTTAGAGCTAATGTGAGAAACAACAACAACAAACAACAACTATACATGCTTCGAGAGAAGAATTTTACCGCCCGCCGTTGTCACATTCGGAGTCATCACTTTTTCCAAAACAACCGGCACAACAAGCAGTTCGCCCGGACATACATCCGTATGCCTTGGTACAGATTACGGCCTGGTTTCTCTCGCCTCCGTCAAGCACGCTAGGCTGAACACGTGCGAATAAATTTGACTTTGGCGCAAATATATTATAGTAGGATGGGGCGTCAAAATGAACTACCCTCCCTGCTTTGGGTTGGTCAGATCGGAGCTATCGAAGTGCGGCGTAACTCGAGGTAACAAGTTGAAGAGCTTGAGGAAGGAGACGGCGGCAGCAAGAAGCTGCTCGATTTAATCTCCATAACATCCCTTGCCTCTCTGAATACTGCAGCCAGGCTAAGCGGTAGACGATGATGTGACCGGCGTTTCAAAAAGGAAAGCTGCTCCACAGGAAGCAATGTGTGAACAACCAACGTCAACGTGTGCAAACATAAGATTCTCATATTTCGTTGCTAGTGTGTACTGCCGCAAAGCTCCGCATTGAAACCACTTGGAAATGACGTGAGTGACGTGGAATCTCACCTTTAGGATCAGGCTTCTTCTTGTGGAACATGACCGCTTGTGTAGCTGCGAGCGGCCGCACAAAGAGCAGGATTGAGATTTGGGTTGTGTTGTGTGAGAGTGCAGCCGACAGACAGAGAGGGCACCGACTGCTGGAAGTGAGGTTGACCCTCCCCCGCCTACAAGAAGTAGTGCTAGTTGCGCTCCCCCCGGTCGCCCTCCCTCGCCCAGCGTAACGGGTTTGCAAGCACGCAGTGCCACACCATTGCACAGCAGCTACACACAGCAGCGGAAGCATGCTTCCTCGTCGAGGTTACGAGCCCGTCGACGATGTAGATGAGGATAGCGCACCAGATATGCAGGCGGCTGCCGCCAGCGAGCGCGATGACGATCATCATGTCCAAGAAGAACTGTCCGCTCTTTGCTGTTCCGTTCCAGCGGCAGCAGCAACGGGAGGCAAGGGGAACGGCAGTGATGGAGTGAATTCAAGAACAGCAGAAGCTGGTGAGGTTCGCAGCGATGACGAGGATGACGACGGGAGGATGACGGTCAGGGTGCTGGACGTCAGGGGGCAGTTTTATCCACTCCGCGTCACGCCGGAGACATCGGTGCGGGAGCTGAAGCTCATGTTGGTTGACGCGGCTGGGGTGGAGGTGCCGAGGCAGCGCATCATCCATGGCGGAAAGGTACGCCGTGTGTTGTTGTCGTCCAGCTCTTGTCGTCTGGTCGCAACGATGGTTGATCATATGTTCAGGTATGCAAATCGACCATCTCTGTCCTCTGTCCTCTCCATGATACGTAATCATGGCCCCCAACAGGTTCGTCCGGTAGAGAGGTTTATCGTGTTCTACTTATTATATGAGACTGTTGTCTCCAGGTTCGCGTGTGAGCAAGTTCCCTTAGGGATGGGCGGTGTGGATACACACCGGATCAACCCCTGGTGGAGAGGTTGATGTACGGAACGTTGAGTCGAGTGTTGTTGTTGTTGTTGTTGACGAGTGTGTGTCTGAGGCAGGTGGGGATCAACCTTGTGTTGAAGCAAGGTTCAGCATCCAACCTGCACTGACTCTTATCTGTGGTAACACCCCGAAGGTAGATCTCCGACAGGTCATCTGACGTCACAATCTACAACAGTCTGAGGTGGCATTCACATCACCCCCCTATCTTCAATCTCGGGGCCTGAATCCGGATTGAAAGATACAAGAATGACATAAATACCTCAGATTGTATGAAATTGTGAAGTACTGATGAAAAACATGAGTTAAATGACTTGGGCCGAAACGTACGGCGACTGCCATCATTCAACGAACGCTTTGTGTTTTGTAGTTATGAAATTTGGAACGTGTCACCAAAATATCTCATCCGAGCATCGATCGTACATAGCGCAGTCACCACCACAGCTTGCACGAGAGCAATTCAGG